GGAAGACGGCGAATGGAACCGACGATGGAGGAGGGAAGACGGCGAATGGAACCTACGATGGAGGATGGAAGACGGCGATGTTGGGGGATGCGATGTGAAGAACGGAGGGCAAAGTTGGAAAAATGAACATCTTAATGGTGTAGTGAAGCTCTAGGTGCAAAATGGTTAAGAGGTGAATGTAACCATTAAGAGCTTGTTTTTTTTTTTGCCAAACACTCTTGACCTCTTACCGATTAAGAGGTTGGCTCTTAATGTCACCATTAAGAGCCAAACAAACAGCCCCTCAACAAGCATATTAAATACAATGAAAAGGAGGGTGTCAGGTTCATTGGGTTAGGATTGGTTCAAATGGCCGCAACTCAATTCCGATCTAATACATACAATTTAACTTTTATAACTTTATCAGGAATAGGTTGACTTCGAGTTGAGTTATTTCGAATTGGTTTGAGTTGTTCGGGTTTCAATGCAACCGTAACGTGAATTAACGGGTTCAAAAGTTAAAAGACCTGATTCAAAAAAACTAATAGTTCAGGGCCATTCCTGAAACATGTTAATACTGCAAGGTTTGAAGATCCCATCAAATCGCTGGCATCTTATTTGGCATACGTGCACCCAGCTCATTCCCGCACGCAATATCCTTTGAATAGATCTAATAAAACCACAGTTGTCGTAACGTACAACTATTAATGCGTTACGTACATGTCATTAATGCATATTTGCTCTACAATTTGCAATTATATCTCTGGAACATATTTCCAGCCTGTAATCTCTCTGTCTTGCTCATCTCTCTTTCTCTCTCTGTTTATATCCATCTGTAAATATGCGTACAATATATATATACATACCCTTGATTTTAACAATTTCCCAAGTGGGTTTTCTGAGTCGATTAAAGTTCTTGAAAAATTACGATCATTGAGTTTGTGGGAAGATTGATTCTTGAGGTTTCTAGGTTAATTTAAGCGGAAGGACGCAATGGATCCGTGTCCTTACGTGCGAATAGTCGTCGGAAGTTTAGGGTTGAAGTTCGTAGGCGGTAGCGCTGCTGCTACTCCACCGTCGACATGTTACTGCAAGATTAAACTCAAGAACTTCCCTACCCAGTTTGCAGAAATCACTTCTTATGCCGATGGTGACGTACATCAAGTGAACGATCGAATTCAAGGTTGCTTCAATTTGAAGAAATCGGAGTTTGATAAGCTTGTTGAAAAATCTAGTGGGATGAAGATTGAGGTTTATTCGGGTCGGAAGGGTAATCCGATTTGTGGGTTTGGGTCTGGTAAGCTTCTAGGGGTTGTGACGGTGGGTTTGGATTCGGAGACGGTGGATGGTGGTGGTGGTGGTGGTAGCAGGGGATGTATGGTGGTTCGAAACGGGTGGGTGGGGATCGGTGACCGGAGTTCTAAAAACTTGGTTCAGTTGCATTTGAGTATTCGTGTGGAGCGTGACCCCAGATTCGTTTTCGAGTTTGACGGTGAACCCGAGTGTAGCCCGCAAGTATTCCAAGTCAACGGGAATGTTCGGCAAGCTGTTTTTACTTGCAAATTCAGTTTCAGAAATTCCAGGGACCAGAATTTAAGATCCGAGTAAGTTCCTTTTTCACGTTTTATTTGTTGGTGTTCGACGAAATGTCTCAATGAAAATTTTTAAATCTTTCATTGATATGACGCGTTCAATCATAAATCTTCTGTAATCTAATGGTATGTTTGATTGTTCGTATTTACAGTTCATCGCTGTCGGATACAAACGACTCAAGAGGCTGGTTAAGATCAATAAGATGTGATAAAGAAAAGCCAGTGAAAGAGCGAAAAGGATGGTCAATTACAATCCATGATCTCTCTGGTTCGCCGGTGGCCATGGCGTCAATGGTGACTCCATTTGTCCCTTCTCACGGAACAGACAGTGTCAGCCAGTCGAACCCCGGTGCCTGGCTCATCCTTAGACCTGGTCACAGCACCTGGAAGCCATGGGGCCGCCTGGAGGCCTGGAGGGAGTCCAAAGGCAAGGACCACCTCGGTTACCGGTTCGAGCTCTTACCGGACGCCGCCGTAAGTGGGCTAGATCCGGTCACTTTATCGAACTCCACCATCAACTGCAAAATCGGGGGGAAATTCACTATAGACATGAGTAACGGAGCGTCACCGATGTCCACCCCAAATGGAAGCTTCGACTCCGGATCGGGTTCTGGATCCGACTTCGAGTTCGGGTCATGGGCCCATTTGATGTACCAAGGCTTTGTAATGTCATCATCGGTGGCCGGCGGAAGGAAGCCAGAGGTGGAGGTTGGGGTTCAGCACGTGACATGCACAGAGGACGCGGCTGCTTTCGTTGCGTTGGCGGCGGCGTTGGATTTGAGTGTGGACGCTTGCCAGCCGTTCTCTAGGAAGCTCCGACAGGAGTTGAGGGTTGACGGCGAATAGTGGATTTTTATTATTTGTTTTTGCCGCTTTTGAATATTCTAGAAGAGATTGTACAGACGCATTCACGACTGCTTTTTTCTGAATGTTTGGTTGAAGTTTGGGAAGATTTGAAAATGAATGTTTTGTTTCTCGTATATTGATACTGATTTAGTTTGTTATAACAAACGGATTAAATTCACGTGAAAATGAAAGTTATGATGATAAGGGTAAGAAAATAATTTTTTTTAGATCAATTTTAACCTAAGAAAATTACTAGATTATCATTAATGAGATACATTAGATCAATTTTTTTATCTATACTATCTTATTAAGCAAATTTAATAAAAGTTTTAAAATTCTAAATGACTAAAATATCTTTTATATTTATTTTTTTACTTTTTCACCCCCTCCTCTCCTCATATACATTCACCCTCTCACAACCGATTTTTTTAAAATTGTAATTTTAAATTTATACATTATACTTCTATAATTAATTAATTAATTTACTTTACGTCATTTACTTTTAAATGTTTCATTTTAAACATTTATCAAATTAGCATACATAATCGTATATCAATTAAAATATGTTTAAAAAATACATTTTTATTTTAATAAATTACATCATTATAATCGTCTCGTCAATACCTTCAAAATGAGTCCAATATTGAATAGTTTTTGACTTAATTATATTATTATATATTATATATACTGTGAAAAATATTTTTAATATTTACGATTTATACTTTTATAGTTATTTATTTATATATATACTATATATTTTGGAGTTAGGCTGTCCAAATTGCACTGTATAATATGTTTTGAATTAATATGTTCTTGGGTTTTTTTTAAATATATATATATATATACATGTACATGTATATATATATACATGTACATGTATATATACATGTACATGTATATATACATGTACATGTATATATATATATACATGTATTAATTCAATCTTAATCTGAGTTTCTGGACAAGAAAGAGGGTAAGCAGTTGAAATTTTATTCTAAAACCCATCTTTTTTTGTCTTTTCATGGCATATGATCTGTCAAATTTGTAGTTTTCTTTATTGGTTTTGAGTGTTTATCTTAAAACTCAAGTTTCTTGATTCTTTGCTCTTGGTGTAAATCGAATACATTTGTGGAGTCGTTTAAATATGTTGGATTTTAAATATATTGGATTTTAAACTGTCATACAATTTTTTCATCGATAGTCTGTAATTGGAACCATAACTCTTATTTATTCAAATTGTATTAATATGTAAAGACCAAGTGTAATCTATATCATCGTTAAATCTTATCTTATAAAACCAGTGGAACTTCAAAATCGTTAAAATTCATGGCTCCCGCCGCATTGCATGGGTACACAACTAATAAAACATAATTCATGGGTTGTCTCAGGATTAAAAGTGATAAATGATACAAATTTTTTCTTACACTTTCTCACCTTAACTAACATTCTCACATGATCATTTGTTTTCAACAACAACAATATATGATTATAATGAAAAAGAAATATAAGATCACCAATATCACATATAATTTAGGGGACAGTCACTTAAATTACTAGAATACATAAAACAATTAATAAAATAACCACTTTTTTCGGTGCTTTTGAAAGTAAACAGCACTTACGTGTTCTTGAATTCGTGAAGAAAAGAAAATAAGGGGTTGGAATTATTGAAGTGGTTTTCGGGGTAGATGGTGTCCATGTAGGTGAATCGGGGATGCATGCTCTATCTTTTGGGGCTTGGGAGGAATCACTAAAACGGGGTTTGGTGGTGGTTCCTAGTCGAAGACGGTTCTTACTTGGTTAGCAAATTAAGAAGGCTTACCGAGGAGAAAATTCTTGGTATCTCGGACAGCGGGGGTCCATGATGTAAACTCCCAAGGTGTAAATTCGTTCCTCTAAAGGTGCTCATCTTTATTTAAAGACTTACTATGGGTGGACACCTAGTTCGGGAGTACCTTAACTATCTGAGTTGTGATCTCCATTTGGTGTTATGTCCAAGATGCGGATTGGAAGTTGAATCATTGGATCATTGTTTCGCAACATGTTCTAATCTTTTGCAGGTATGAGAATGCTTTCAGAGATGGTGCATAATGTCTTTGTTGTCCCCATTAACGCTCAATGGCATTTTGGAAATTCCTAATCAGATGAGCCCATCTTTATTGCGTGGGGTGACAAAATCTACAATTTGGACTGCTCTTTACATAATTTGAAGAAATCGAAACGAATTGATCTTCTCTATTACCAACCAACGTCATAATCATTCAGACATATTTTTTAACACCCAATTGCCATCGTTTTTTTTGGCTTCGTCAAGGTGAAAATGCCTAAACATCTCATGGACTTCATAGCTTTCGGGGAACTTCGGTTACGATGGTTATGGATAGATCTTCTCCGAGGTCGCAAGTTGTTTGACCACTCGGTTTTGTCTCCTTCTTTGGTTGGTTTTATCTGTCTTGTTTAATTTTTGCACCTTGCATAATCTAAGTCTTGTGGGCTGTATACTACACTATGTTTTTTTCTCCTTGATATAATAAATTTGTTTGTCTTTCAAAAAAGAAAAGAAGGCGATGGAAAAAGAAGGAAAATAAATATTTTATATGAATTGTTGTGCGGGGCCAGGGAGAGAACGAAAGAAAACAGTTTTTGATGTTATTGAGAAGAAGAGAGAGGAAAATAAAGATATCAGTTTTATAAATATAACATTAATTATTTTTAAGCAGATTATAATTTATGAGTAAATGTATAATTTTATAAATATTTATAATCGTTTCCTTTCCGTCCCAAATCAATATTATTTTTTTCTCTTTCCTTTCTGTATTTTAAAAAACTCAAGCACACAATGTTAGCCAATTTGGCAAAAATCTGATTTTGTTATAAACGGGTCCTAAATGTCATATATTTAGCCAAAACCTTATGTATTTCGCCAACAGTATTTGAAATTTGATGAAAATTACGAGATTTTGCCTAAATGGACGAAGATTTTTTTTCCCTTTTATGACGTGTTGGTAGGGGTGTGCAAAACCCGACCGTACCCGAAAACCCGACCTGGAAAAACCCGAAACACACCAACCCTAATCACCCGATAGTACCCGAGGTCCGAAGCCCGATATTTATGTTGGGTATGTAGGTTTAGGTAGGGCCTTAAATTCAATCTGAAATGAACAATCCATGCTCACTCCTACGTGTTAGGACCCATTTATGACAAAAACAGATTTTTGTCAAATCGGCTAAATGCTTTAGTGAAAGTACCGTTTATTTTCTTAAATACCTAAAAAGGTGATTATTTTGTTAATTTGTGTATTTTTTTATTATTTATATGATTTCCCCTCATTTTAATACCACATAATTTTAATACATGAAATTATAAAACAAGATCACTGTAAGATGCGTATATATGTCAAAATAAATACATACATACACACACACACACACACACACACACATATATATATATATATATATATATATATAAGAGAGAGATAAGCGGACTCGAACCGCTAACATCCGCCGCAGGGTAAACATTTTATGTTCTATTTCACTCGCCGATGGGGGTTCTATATTACCGCGACTGCTGGCACAGAGTTAGCCGATGCTTATTCCCCAGATACCGTCATTGTTTTTCTCTGGGAAATATATATATATATATATATATATATATATATATATATATAAAGAGAGAAAGAGAGAGGGGGTTAATTTTCAAATCTGACCATTAGTACAAACTACACAAAACAATATCAACCGTCATCTAGTCTCATGAATATTTGATATAAAACAATTGACCATAAAAAATGAAATATGATAATTATCTACAAAATATCAAAATCATAATAAATAAACTTACATCATTTCTATAAATATCACAACTAATGATTTGTACGGTCCATGGCTCCAAATCACTCGTTATGGCACCGATGCTTGGTTTCGTTGCCACGTTAACCTATGTGGTTCCACTTTAATGTTTGACTTCTATCATAACACGTTATGACATGTTATGACGCGTTATTTTGTAAGTCATAAGTTTCTTTTTTACCCTTTTTAAACATATAACTTGGAGATAAATGATATTTATGTACAACATTTAAGACTTAAAATAAACATTAAAATGAAACATAAAAACTAACACCCTCGACTTACAAGATTTAATCCCGATTTTGTATTCTTGATATATCATTTTCTTATAATTCAATATATTTCATATAAAATGGTTCTGATTTCCTATTTAGTTTTATTACTTTATATGAATTTAAATTAGTTTATGGGATCATTCAAAGTACTAGCACACTCCACACACAAGGTGTCACTGTAGAACACGTCTTAAGAAACACTATGATTTTATCGTAACTTGTAAGGCTTGAGACTTGACCTTGCAGCCATATCACGACTCACATCATTTAAAACTTTACTATGATTTAATATAAATGATCAAGTTTATAAAATATGTGTTATATATGTTAGCTGAGATTTTTTTTTTGATTAAACTGGATACTCAATCCGCTATGCTAACCGACTAATCCAAAAACAACCACATGGTTTGCAGATAGTTCGAAATCACCCTCATTTGAACCTCTGTGGCTACAAGAGAGTTTTTATTCATCATTGGATTTGAACTTGGGACTTTCAGATACTTTTGATCTTTGGAGCCAAGCTTAAATCAACCAGGCACCACGGTTATGGTTAAAAAGTTAAAAAATGGAATACAAAATAAAGATTTAGAGTTTAGGGATTAAGATTTTGAGATTCATGCAAGAAGCAGAAAACATTTTGAAGGGATAAAGAAGGTAATAATAGGTTGGAGGTTTGTGGACCCAATGGCCAATGCATAAATGACACGTGGGTCATTACATCAGCATCCACCATATCAAACGGACAACTTACGTTTTGATTTACAAATTCTTCGTCCATCTGATTCACTCCCACTCTTCCATTTTGAATTTTAAAAAGCAAGTCAAGACTCAAACTGGGTCTTCTTTTACAGCTGTCTTTTAACAACTTTTTTTTATAATTTTTTAAAATAAATAATTAAAATATAAAATTTTAACAAAAATTACATTCATCTATCTTTAAGGTAGTGTTTGATACGCATATTAAATGGAACAGAATAAGACGGGAAGGGACATGACAGGACTAATTG